TGGCAATTCTATTAGTAATGACTTAGACATCAGTGCTGTATCAACAGCCTTCAGCTCCACCTGCTGCTCCAGCAGGGAGACATCTGGGCAGAGCCTCATGGAGAGCCAGCCTGAAAATCAGGAGACCAGCTCCAGGGTCTTGAGCAGCAAACGTGGGGAGGGGAATAAGATGGGCCTGGGTATACAGTCATTTGTTTTCTTGACACTCTTGCAGCTGCCCAAGGCATTGCCAGAAGCCAAGAGAAAGCCAAAGCAACAGCACATGGCAGAGAAATGACACCTGTGACCTGGCCAGTGTCTGAGGAGCAGATCTGTGAGAGAGGCAAGTGTGGGATGGACCTACAGTGTCAAAAAGGAAGCTGGGAGAAAGGTCCCAGCAGACTCTGGACTGGAGAAAACATCCTGCCCACCAGTCAGGAGAAGGGATACACCCTCCACGCTGCTGGCAGGCAGAAATAAGGTCCAGAGGCAGCACAACTGCAGAGACCAACGCTCAAGCACAGAGGGACAGATCACTCAGAGAAGCAGCAAGAAGTTTAGCACTGACCTTACAGCCCCACCCCACTGAACCCCCAGCCTCTTAGAGACACAAACCCATATCCTACCTCATAAATCCCAGGAACATGAGGAGCACCAGGCTGACGAGCCACCCTGCTGTCGCAAAAGCCTTGGGCATGGTCAGGGCCCCTGTCCCCACGATGAGGTTGAACATGTAAACCAGACCAACCTGCAATCATCCACATCACCCCAGGTGAGAGCTTGCAGCTGTACCCAAGACACCTCACATATGTACTAGTTCAAACAGAGAGAGCAGTTACTCTGACCAAGCAGGGTGGGAACAAGCTCATGCTGGAAATCAATTTAGGAAGGGATTCATAAGCAAAGAAAACAAAGGGAATGTCAGCACATTTCTGGAGGAAATGGTATTCCCCCCATTTTTCTAATTCTTTTAAAATGTTTTTTTCTTTTCTTTCTAGCTTCTGAAGTTAAAAAGCACATGAGCTTTTTGTTTGTTTTCAAACCCAGCAGAAGGGTCTAGAATGTGGCTTTTAGGTCTCTCCTTATTTTCTGATCCGAACCTCAGCAGTTATTACTACGTACATAACTTACCTTTCAGAATCTCTTGTTCTTTATTCTTAGACAAGCAGGAAGTATCCAACTATAATTTTAACTCAAAGCCTGCTTGTCATTTTACCAGCAAGCAGCTGAGCACACTCTGAAGAAGGGATGAAGGATTTTATCCTCTCTGGCAATGAGGTTTTTTTGTGGCCAGCAGTAAAAGATAACTGTGCACCTGGAGAGGATGTTCCTGACTATAAATTTAGCTGAACTCAAGATCAAAAATTGCCCCAAAGTTGTTGTTTGGGTTTTTTTATACAGAGCAGAATTTCTCCAAAGGAAAGCCAGTAAAAAATTCAGTTCCAATATACTCTTCTGGGTGTGGAGCAATTAATAGCAGGAGAACCATTCCCCAGAGACACTGTGAGCTCTCCTGCCCTACATTCCCTGACATAAGCAAAGAAAATTCATCTTTTGATGGGTCTCTCAGAAGGACTGAAAAAAATAATAATAATCAACCATTGCAGCTTGCAGGAAAGTTCTTTTCATTCAGCTGACAGAGCTGTTGTTCCCCCAGCACAACTCAAGGGCCCAGGGCCATGACTCACTCTTCAGTGAAGGACTCTTGTAAAAACCCTCTTGAAAAAAACAACCCTCCTTGACTTTGGTTACAGAATCACAGAATTGTCAGAACTGGAAGGGACCTCTAGAGATCATCTAGTCCTCTGCTAAAGGAGGATCACCCAGGGCACATTACCCAAGACTGCATCCAGGTGGGTCCCCAGAGAAGGGGACTCCACACCCTCCCTGGGCAGCCTGTCCCAGGGCTCTGTCACCTTCAGAGTAAAGACGTTTTTTCTCATATTTCAATTAAACTTCCCTTGTTCCAGCTTGTACCCATTGCCCCTCATCCTGTCCCTGGGAACTACTGTGAAGAGTCTGGCTCCCCCGTGCACCCACTCTTTAGATACTGACAGGCATTCATAAGGTCTCCCCTCAGCTTTCTCTTCTGCAGGCTGAACACTCCCAGCTCCCTCAGCCTTTCCCCGCAAGGGAGATGCTCCAATCCCCCAGTCATCTTTGTTGCCCTCCACTGGACTCTCTCCCTGTCTCCCTTGAACTGGGGAGCCCAGAACTGGACCCAGTTCTCCAGATGTGGCCTCACCAGGGGAGAGCAGAGAGGGAGAATGACCTCTCTTAAGCTACTGGCCACACTCTTCCTTATGCACCCCAGGAATCCATTGGCCCTTTTGGCCACAAGGGCCCGTTGCTGCCTCATGGATCATTTACCAGGACTCCCAGATCCTTCTCCTCAGACCTGCTTTCCAGCAGATCCACCCCCAACCTATACTGGTGCTTGGGGTTCTTCCTCCCCAGGTGCAGGACCCTACACTTCCCCTGGTCAAGCAGGGATGAGAATGGTGTGTTTAGCCTGGCTAGACATACTGAGAGAGAGAAGACTCACAGCCTTTAAGGTTAGACTCTAGGCAACTCATGCAATACTAACTTAACAACACAGAAGGTCCAGATGTCCTTGTTCTCCATTTTCTCAGTTGTGACCTATTTCTCCAGCTTAATACCCAGTTCCTCTAAATCCAATCATTAACATGGAGATGAAAGTTGTAAAGCATTTGAAAGCAAAAACACAGGTTTCAGAACTGGTTGTATGTTTAGCAAGTTCACTTCAGAAAAAAAGAGATGTTTATAAAGAACTGGTTTTAGGAGCTGACTCTGTGTGAACACTTGTGGCTATGAAAACCAGTATTTCCAGTAACAGAGGAAACCAGTCATTTGGCTCTGCAGCTTCTCAGGACACCACATTACAAGGAAGAAACATCTTCACTACTAATTTTAAGTGAAGTGGCTTGAAGCAAATTACTACAACAGCTGCCAATAAGTAAACTAAGAAATTCAAAGGAAAATGCTATCTAAACTTAAAAAAAGAGAAGCAAAGTGGGGTAGTTTCAGTGTCACAAACCTCCCCTGTTTATGCCAATTGCATGTGGGCTGATGAAAACATTAAGAGCATATAAGAAGAGTGGGTAAAAGGTGCAGGAATTGGTGTGGGACATGAAGCTCTTTTTAACACTTTTAGAACTACACCTTAAGCAGACATCATCTCTTCACATTATATGAAGTGATGTGTGGTGTGAAAAAAACCCCAACAAGTTCTAAGCATTTTTAAGTACTCCCTGATCTTCATTCTCCCTGGAAACACTGGGGTTATGTCTGTGGGGAAGAAGGAAATGACAATATGTCCTAGTTTGAGCTGAGAGAAGAAGATTTTGAAAAGAACTGTGAGCAAAGCCACAAAGAGCTGTACTTACATAGGGAGAGTAAAGCTCTCCTGTGTCAGTGATGCCACCAGCCATGGTGAAGATGGTAGGGAGGTTCAGAGCAGAGGGAGGAGGGGCTTTTCAGCTTCTGTTGCCCTTAACCTGGGGAAACATCATCAAGTTGTGTTAGTGCTGTTGGGAAGAGGCAAAGCTCATGAGTTAGATTTAGAACATGGGTCTTCTGCCACGTGAACAAAAGGGGACTCCAGCAGGACCCTGCACTTTGGACAGGTATCCCCCACTCACCAGCAGTGCTTGTTCCAAGGCTCTACTTGAGACGTTCTCATACCTGTTCAACGAGTTTACAAGTAACCAGAAGGCCCTGCCCTTCCCCAGCACACCATGAGGAAACTTCGCCTTCTCCAAACAACCCGAGGGGCCTTTTCAGCCACTAAAACCTCAAGAGGAAGAATGCCTGCCTGGAGGATGATCTCACCCCACTGCTCCTCCTGCAGCACGTGCCTCCTGCAAGCCCAAGCACTAAAACCTGCCTCTCTCTGAGACAGAAATAAACAGCCAAGTTAAAACGCTGGGCTGACAAAATAAACGGAGATGCTTGGCTACACCCACCAAGGTTTCCAAAGCAGAAGTATTTGTCACAGACTCATGTGTGGGGTTGGAAGGGACCTTTTGGGGAACTGCACGTTGCTTTAGAAGAACCCCAGGGGGAAGGAAGAACCCAAGGTTTCTGAGAGGTTTCAGAGTCAATGAACAATTAGCTGTAGTTGACCTGTTTTAAGAGCTGTGTCAAAGTCCTCACACTTCGACAGATGCTCCCCCCCTTAGCCACCCCGAGTGGGACATCACACTCCACGAGCAGCTCTGAGGAGCACGCACAGCTCAGGGGCTCCCACACCCGGAGGGACCAGATGCCCGAGCCCCCCGGCACCCACACTGAGGGGCCGAACCCTGCCCTGACAACAGCCCCCGGCCCCGGCCCGAACCCCCAGGAAGCAGCAGGACCACGGGGGGCCGAACACACCGGGACAGGGCCGGGAAGGCGGGAGGGCCCAGCCCGCGGGGAGGGGACCCAACCCCCGGGCCCGGAGCCCACCCAGGCCTCCC